TAAAGATGGGGAAACTGAGGTTGGAGAAGTTACATCAGCAAGCAGCCCAAGCACACGCAGCAAGTAAGGAGAAAGTGGGGGAAGGAAACAGATGCATTTGGGGGCTGAAGGCTGGCTGGTCAGGGTAGGGGCAAAGCTGCTCACCAGAGAGGCTCTTGGCACAGTTCAGGTCCCCGCGAAGGTCATGGTCCTGGTCCCACGTGGAGAAGGGCAGAGAGAGTCCACTGGGCGTGATGGTGGTGGCACCCAGCTCGCTGGCCACCGGCTCCGTGAGCTGCAGGCTGTAGGCTGTGTCCTCACCTCCCAGGTGGACAGGAAACTGCAGCGATTCGGCGTTGCCCTCCCAGTCCTTGAGCTGCACAGCCAGGCGGCTGCCACGGTCCCCTGTGATGCTGTGCATCTTCTCCAGGCCCAGCCAGAACTCGCCTACAGCGGGAGGGGCTGCCTGATGAGCTGGGCCCACCTCCATGGGACCCTCCTCCTCCCCTGCCTCTGGTCCTGCTGGAAACACCCACCTTGGGGATCCCCGAAGCCTGTCTTGTAGGCTTCCCAGGGCCGATTGAAGTCCACAGAGCCATCCTGGCGCCTCTGAATCACTGTCCAGCCTCCATCTACCCAGAGAGGCACAAGGTCACCAGAAGGCCCCTCCTCACAGGGGACCCTGGCAACCAACCCTGAGACCCCCCAAACCCAGGAGAGTCACATTCCCCTCACTCTTCCCAGGAGGACTGAAGGAAGGTGAAGCAGAGGGATGACTACTGTGGGCCACCAGGCAAGGGCTCGAGCTGGATCTCAGGCATCTATCTGCAAAGCTGGATTCAGATTTGTGTGTGTGTGTGTGTGTGTGTGTGTGTTTTACTCAGGATTGAACCTTTTTATTTGAAGACAGGGGCTTGCTGAATTGCAGGCTGGTCTCAAACTTGGGATCCTTCTGCTTCAGCCTGTCAAGTAGCTGGAATTATAGTCTTGCCCTACCGTTCCCTGCTAGGCTACAGGTGGTAACTCCAGGAACCTATCTGTGAGCTTGCGTTGGACAGCAATGGGGAAAGGGCTTGTTTTCATTATTATGTTTCTGGTGCTGGAGATGGAATCCCAGGCTTTATGGGCGCTGAGCACATGCTCTACCCTGAGACACACAGGGCTGCGTTTTAGAGAAAGACACTAGGGCCCGTGAATGGCAAGAGGGTTCCCTGGAAGGCCAGTACATCCTACCTGAGGTCATTTTGCAGTTGACCAGAAAAGGTGGGGACCCCTGAGGCTGGATCTGGAACAGTCCACTTTGTCTCTCACCAGCTTCAAAGAGCTCCTGGCAGTCCCGGGGCAGCCCTGAAGGCAAACAGAGAGATGAGGTGAAGCAGGAGAGACGCTCCTGAGGCCTCAGGAGGCAAGCTGTATGTGGGTGATGAGTAGGTGAGATGCAACCCTGATCTCATGACCCTTTCCTACCTCTGCCTAAACTCTTCCATGGCTCCCTCTGGCCTTCTCAGTGTAATCTATAAGGCCTTCAGGAGCAGCCTTTGTACCCACATTCCTTCCTCTCAATGCTGCACCTCCACCCTTCCTGGCCAAATCAGCTTCTTTCCTGTTCCCCACCACCTTCCTTGTATCACATATCCCCCTACCACAAGGTCTTTGCACATGCTGGTCCCTCTGTCTGGGACTCTCTTCCCTTAGTCCCGGCTGTGGGTCCCAGTTTCCAGAAGAATGCCTTCCCTCACCCCTAGACCAGACTTGATCTCCCAAAATGAATATGAAGGCTTCCTGCTCCCCCACACTAGGGTCATCTGGTAGTGGCTCCCCATCCTCCTACTGAGTGGGGGCTCCATGAGGCCAGGGATAAGGAGCAGCTCTGTCCATAGGCACCTGGCTCTACCCTGAGCTTAGCTTGCAGCCCGTACTCAGTGAAGAGTTGATGTATGAATGATTGCAGGAGTTTGATGGGGTAGGAAGCAACCGCCTGGGTGAGCTGAGCAAAATGGCTCTCTGCTCATACCAGGGAACACGGATCACAGCTGGATGAGGCTTGGCGACAGAGACTTTGCCCAGGGTCCCAGCTCTGAGCGGGAGAGGGCTCAAGATAGAGGAGAGAAGGAGGAAGGAAGAAAGGGGGAGAGAAGGAACCTGGCCTTGGGTCATGGAGACTGGGGAAGGACGGCCCCCAGCCCAACCCAGCTGGGCAGGGAAAGTAGAGGAAAGGTCACCAGGGGGAGGGGCAGGGCCAGGATTCTCAGCCAGTGTGTCCACTGCAGCAGAGGGGCAGGCCCAGAAGGACACTTCCCGGCCCCTCAGGCAGCTCCCCTTTCCCCTACTTTCCTCTCATCCAATCAGGACAGGCATGAAGCCAAGCCACCAATGTGGTCTCCATTAGCTCCAGCTGTTTGTCTCTCAGAGCTCTGAACTTTCCCCGACTTGGCCAGGCTGAGTCTGGGAGTCCTAAACCACCCTGCACACCCCCCTTCTCTTCCACCACATCTCCCTGCCTGGACCTGTGCCTGCTGGCCTCAGAAACTCCTCATCCAAGATGATGGCTCGGGAGAGCTCCCTGGGACCCTCACCATGCTGAAACGCCAGCCCTCCGCGGGGAAGAGGGAAGGAGTCTGGGGAGCAAGGGAGCCCTCAAGACTGCAGGGCTGGAGGCCAGCAACCAGGCCAGGGTGTGAGGCGGGGGATCCACACTTTCACCCAGTTGGCTGTAGACAGTCACAGATGCTGGGCAGGGTGACAGCATGGCTGTGAACTTAAGGGTGGGAACTGGGAGCCTGTGTCACACACACACACACATGTTGTTATTTGAGATTGGGGGGAACTTGGGACATACACAATAAAAGACCTAAAATCTGTGATGGCAGGAAAAGCCTGGTGTGTGTGTGTGTGTGTGTGTGTGTGTGTGTGTGTGTGTATAGGTTCAATGGGGACTTTGAGGACATAAGTGGCAAGAGTCTGTGTGTGAGGGCTGGGGTTGCGGCTCAGAAGTGGAGTGCTCGCCCAGTATGCACAAGGCACTGGGTTCGATCCTTTTTTTTTTTAAAGAGAGAGTGAGAGAGGGGAGAGAGAGAGAGAGAGAAATTTTAATATTTATTTTTTAGTTCTTGGCGGACACAACATCTTTGTTGGTATGTGGTGCTGAGGATCGAACCTAGGCCGCACACATGCCAGGCGAGCGCGCTACCGCTTGAGCCACATCCCCAGCCCCTGGGTTCGATCCTTAGCACCACATAAATGTAAAATAAAGATATTGTGTCCACCTAAAACTTAAGAATAAATATTTTTTTAAAAAAGAGTCAGTGTGTGGCCAGGGAGCTGGGGGCCCTGCCACAGTTTCCCTTCTAGATTCACACCATGGGAGTTCTTGGGGTGCCAAACCTCAGAAACCCCCACCTGGTACCTCCCTTTATCATACCCTCCCATAAAGTCCTCCGCCTCAGGATGATGTCCCTGAGGGATACTACCGTCTCCCAACACCCCTGAAGCTTAAGTTCCTTGTGGTATCTCTTCCAACCCTGGCTCCAGTTGGTGGCCAGCAGGATTTCAGGAAAAGCCCTCTGGCTTGCTGAGAAGAGGGGTGCAGTGGCCTGCCTGCACAGGTCAGGGCTGAGGAAGGAGGTGCTGCCATCAGCCTCAGGAGCTGGGACCCAAGACCAGAACCTCTCTCCTTATTACAGTGAATCTGACCAAGGGGCTGGGAACAGGAATGGCAAATGGAGGGGCAGGGAAGTGCAGGACGACAGCAGAGGTCCAGACACTCACTGTGCAGGCGGGTGGTGTTGTGCTCCAGGCCAAGTGGGGCCATCTTGGGTAGCCTCTTTCTTTTGGCAGGCTTGGTCACTCCATTGTCAAGGTGTGGGGGGGTCAGGAGGCCAACCTGGGACAAGACAGGAGAAGGGGGAGGGTGTCTGGTGGATTGACTCATTCGGCTGCCTTACCTGCCTGGCTCCATGATGGGACCTTCGGGTCCAGCTTTGACCTCTCTCCCCACCTGGGTCAGGCTTAGGGTACCTGGCTCTGCAGATTCTGTATTCTCAGGTGCTGCTTCTCCAGGTGTCGCTGTTGCTGGGCTACCTTCTGGAACAGTTGTTCGATCCTGCTGTTCTGAGCCTTGAGCTGCGTCTGGGGAAGGGTGCAAATCTTGGTGAGGACCGGTCCTATATCTCCAACCTCCCTTTTCAGCCACCCACCCATCCTTCCAAATGTCCATGCTTTGAGCCCCCGGCAGTGGTACCCAGAGAGCCTGGGCTGCGCTCTCCCTTCCCACCCACACAATTCCAGACCAGAAAGGGAGTTGGCAAGAGTGCCCAAGAGCCCGCGTTAGCAGGCCCACGTACCTGCAAGCTGCGGAGGGTCTCGGGGACCGCCTCGCCTCCGGGAACCCGGGTTTCTGGGACTGCCTCGCCACCGGGAACCACGCTCTCGGGGGCTTTTGAGGGCTTGGAGGACGCCTCAGACCCCTGGCAAGCGGCCCCGCAGGCGGCCAGGCGCTGCTCCAGCGCGCCCAGCTGTCCACGGGTGCGCTCCACGTGTTCTCGCAGCCCGTGGCCGAGCTGCAGCAGCCCGTGGGCCAGCACGTTCATCTCGTCCCAGGACGCGAAGCGAGGCGGCTCGGGCGGCGCGGGGCGGCCCTGAGCGCTCAGCAGCCCGGCGGTGGCGGCGCACAGCATCAGGGCTGCGCCTGCCGTCGGAACGCAGCGCATGTTCTTGGTCGGCCTGGATGTGGGGACACAGGGACTCGGTGCAGGGACGCAGTGGCTCGAAATGCTAGGGCTGGAGACGTGGAGAACCTGGCGGAGACTCGCTGGGGTGCCGAAGGCAGCGGGAAGGAATGGATCTCGGCCTCAGGTCCGCTAGGCTCGGCTTGACCTCGCAACGCCCAACGCCCTCTTTTATAAACCGGGTGCGGGAGTGGGAGGGGGAACCTCGGGGGCGGGGCGCGGGGAGTGCTGGGGGCGGGGCGAGCGGCCTAGGGTGGGGTCCTGTGTGTGGTGGTTATAGAGGGTGGGGAGCCTTCTGGGGCGCGAAATTCTGGCTCCCCTCGCCCTGCGCCAGGCTCTGGTTGGCCTTCCTCTGTGAACCGTGGGAGACGTGACTGGCGCCTCCTCTAAGACCCCCATGCTGCCCCCGCTGTGATCAGTGGGGGAAAGGCCGATCGCATCTGTCGGGACATTCCTGAACCCCTTTGCGAGGCAGAAGTTGGGGAAGAGAGCAGTGAGTACTGCGTGCGAGGAAGGTCCCTCCCTGGTGCGCAGAGTTCCGCGGGGTGGGCGGGGAGCCCCGGGACACCTCAGCCTCCTGGTCTCAGAGGCTTCCTATGATCTCCAATTCCAAGACCAGACTGGGGCTCCTGGCTCCCAGGGTTGTCTGAGGCCTCCCACGCCCCTTCCCGCACAAGGGTTCGTCATTGCGGGTAGGTTTACGAGATTCTGTCTTGTCCGGACCTCCTGTCCCATCCAAATTGCCAGCGCCCTAGTGGCAGGGTGTGGGCCTGTATTGCTCAGAGCCTCCCCTCCTGTTGCCCACTCTCCATTGCCAGGGCTTTGCTCGTATGCAAGCAGGAACCCAGGGCACATGGAAGGAAGGCCTCCCTTCCACCCTTTCTCTTTGTTCATTCATTCATTCGTTCGTTCATTCATTCATTCATTCAACAAAGAGGAGCTCAGCCCAGACCCTATGTGGAGTTCCCTGGCTGGAGGAGAAACCCCAACACTCTGAGCCTGAGGGAGGGACAGAGGAAGATCCAAGCAAACCCGTGGGCCCTGTTCATGGCACAAGGCTAAGCTTTCATTCAATAAAAAACGCACAGGTGTCACCTATGCATTCCCCACCAACTCCCCTATACCTTGCCAGGAAGGTTAGCCTGGCACAGAAAACCCTCCTGCCAGGAAGAACCACTAGGCCGATTACTCAGAAAAAAAAAAATGATAATAATAAAGAATGGAGTTGACTCAGCATGGCTGGGAGCCAGCAGCCCTGGCCTCTGGAATCTGAAACTGCACACTCCAGGGCTGACGTGCAGGCCACCACTCATGCACTTGGCCTGCCTGGGCCACATGCCAGCCTGGCTGATCCCAGCAGTGACAGACAAACGGGAAGGGCAGGCAGGGAGGAAAACCCCAGCAAGGATAGTTTCAGCTGGCCACCATCTGGCCTGTCCACCCCTATTTCCAGCATCTGAGTGGTGAACATAGCTATCCCAGGGAATCTCCAACCGCAGTATCCTCTTTCCCAGCTTCTTGCATCAAGGAAGATGATCAGTTATTTTCTAACCTCATGGACTTTGTGATTTGCTTCTCAGGAACTTCAGTGCTGTGTTTTAGAACAAACCAGACTTGCAGAAGGCCATTGGCGGCACCTGCTAGGAGTCAACTTTTAAGACTATGATCCCCCTGGGGACCAAAGCTGGCCCTGGATTTTATCCTAAAATCAGCTGCTTGGAATGTGCTCTCTGACTCAGCCATAACACAGTCACCCTGACTGATGGTCCCTTAAGCATCTGATGTGTGCCAGGCACTATGCTGGGGCTGTGTTGGTGTGATGAGCCTGTCCTCTACTCCCCAGGCTTTTTTTTTTTTTTTTTTGTACCAGAGATTGAATCCAGGGCTCTTAACCACTGAACCCCTGAACCACATGCTCAGCCCTTTTAAATATATTATTTACAGACAGGATCTCACTAAGTTGCTGAGGCTGGCTTTGAACTCACAATGCTCCTGCCTCAGCTTCCTAGGATTACAGGTGTGCACCACCGCACTCAGTCTTACTCCCCAGGCTTTTTTTTTTTTTTTTAACTTTTTGTAGTTGTAGATGGAGAGAATGCCTTTATGCCTTTATTTTATTTTATTTGTATATGGTGTTAAGGATCAAACCCAGTGCCTTGCACATGCTAGGCAAGCACTCTGCCACTGAGCTACAGCCCCAGCCCCTACTCCCCAGTCTTGACCCCAAGCTACTCTGGTAAAAGTAAATGGCTTGAGAAAGGTGGGCTGGGGACTCGAATCTGTCATCAGAAAATAAAGCAAGGGAGGTGACTCTTGTTACCAGGTGGTGTCCAGCTGAATGAAGGAGACAACCCTCTGCCTTTGGGATATTTTAGCCTGGGTAGGATGTGGTCTCTTGAACAGTGCCCTTCCAACTCTAGTCTTGGGGACTTCTAGTGGGTGGGTGGGAGGAGAGAAGTTGATCTGTCAATCACCCTGAGGAGCTGCTTAGACTAAAAGCAGCAGCAAAGGCTGGGGCTGAGGCTCAGTGTAGAGCCCTCACCTAGCACGTGCGAGGCCCTGGGTTCGATCCTCAGCACCACATAAAAATAAATAAATAAAATAAAGGTATTGTGTCCAACTACAACTAAAAAATAAATATATTAAAAACAATAAAAATAAAAGCAGCAGCAAACATCTGAACACTTAATATCCCCCACATATTGTTCTTTAGTGTTGCCATATTCATTTAATCCCAGTAACAACTCTGTTTGAAGCACATATTCTAATTATTCTGTTGTAACAATTCTATTTGAATTACATAATCTAATTATTCTATTTTATAGATAACAAGATAGATTGCACATTTATCCAAGTCCACACAATTATCTAGACACAGGTAAGATTTGAAACCAGCCTGATAGCTGTATTCTTTTTTTTAAATTTTTTTTAATATTTATTTTTTAGGTGTAGATGGACACAACACAATGCCTTTATTCATTTTTTTTTTTTTTTGTGGTGCTGAGGATCGAACCTGTGTCCCGCCTGTGTTAGGCGAGTGATCTACCGCTGAGCCACAATCCCAGCCCCAAGACAGCTGTATTCTTAGCAGCCAACCTGTCCTTCCTCTCTTTAATAATAAAAATCGTTCACATTTCCTGATATGTGCAACCTCATGGAGTTCCTTCTGTATTATAACCAATAGGCTACTGCAGAAATGATGGGACGGTAAAAAAATGTATAAAGAAAGAAACCATGGGATGTATGACTTTTTTTAAGGGGGTGGGGCTTGGTACCAGGGATTGAACCCAGGGGCACTCAACCCCTGAGCCAGGTCCTCAGCCCTTTTTATGTTTGGTTTTGAGACACAGTCTTGCTAAGATGTTTAAGGCCTCAGGAAGTTTTTGAGGCTGGCTTTGAACTTGTGATCCTCCTGCCTGAGCCTCCTGAGCCACTGGGACTACAGACATGCACCACCATACTCATTGGGACATGTGACTTCTGAAATTAGGCCGGGGGAAAAAAACCTATGACTTCTATCTTGATCTTGCTTGGATTACTTGCTCTGGAGAGAGGCAGCCACCATGTTGTGAGGATGCTCAAGCAGTCCTTTGGAATGACCTATGCAAGGAGGAGACTGAGGGTCACACCCAACAACCAATGTCTTGTCAGTCATGTGAGTGAGCAGTTTTGGAAGCAGTCCTCCAACACCAAATTATGAATGACCACAGTCTCACCTGACATCCATCAGTAGCCATGTGAGACCTCAAGCCAGAACAACTCAGCTAAGCCACTCCCAAAGTCCTGACCCATAGAACTACAATATAATAAATACTACTGTTATTGTTGTTTGGGGTGCTGGGGATGGAAATTAGAACCTTGCACATGCCAAGTGAGTGTTCTACCATTGAGCAACACCCACAGTCTCCTGATCCTACCTCTTAAAGGTCCACAGAGACAGCCATCACCATCATCATGGGGACAAGGTCTTTATGTATAGACCTTTGAGGAACACTCATCTGAACCAAAGTACCATATAATTATGGGGCCCAAGAAGGCCCACCATCTGCCATCTGCAAGCTTCAGAGTCAGGAAAGCAGGTGGTATAATTCAGTCCAAGTCTGAAGGCCTGAGAATAAGGAGCTCTAATGACTGAGGACAAGAGAAGATGGATGTCTCAGCTGAGAGAGAGAGAGAGAGAGAGAGAGAGAGAGAGAGAGAGAGAGAGAATTTTTCCTTTCTCCATCTTCTTGTTCTATGTAGTCCTCAATGGTTGGATGGTGCCCAGCCACCTTGGTCTACTGACACAAATACTCCTTTCCTCAGTCTACTGACACAAATACTATCTATTCCAGAAACACTCTCCCAGATATACCCAGAAATAAAATTATCCTGGCTATCTTGGCATCCCTTAGCTCAGCCAAGCCAATACATAAACTTTAACCCTCACAGACTGCACCGCCAACACCACCAACACCACCAGGTAAGGAGTTGTGGTTGCAAGACATGCTGCTGGGGTTTGGATATGGTTGGAGTGTTTCTTCCAGAGATTCAGTGTGGGAAGCTTCATCCCCGATGTGGTGATGTTGAGGGAGCAGAACCTTTAAGAGGCGGGGCCTTAAGGAAGATGGATAGGTCATGGGCCTCAGAAAGGGTTTCTGTAGTTCTTGGAGGACGCCAGTTAGTTCGCATGAGAGCAATTTGTTATAGAAAGAGCAAGTCTGGTTCCTGCCTCTCCTGTGACTCTCCTTTCATATATGCTCCCACCATGAATCTGTCCTCTGTGTTGTGATTACAGGCCTGTGCCCCCACACTGGGCTCCCTCTGCCTTTTTAAGCCTAGGCAGTGTTCCATTGTGTATATATACTACCATGCCCAACGAGATACATTTATACAAAAACACACGTATGCAACATACACGCATATATGTAGAGATCTATTAATACATATACAGATACATGTATGTGTAATCCACGCAAACATATATATGTGGACTAAAGCACATTTATATATAGATACACAATACATGCAGACAGATATGTGTGTATAAATCACATATATATAGGGACATATATATCATACACACATTTATGTGGAGTCATATATACAGAGAAACATACAAATATATACAATGTGCATACATATGTAAATACGTGCACAGATTATATGTCATACCTACATACCTACATATGACATGCAAGGAAAGAGAAAACACACTGACATCATGCCTGAACCACTTGTGGGTGTATTGCACATGGATTGTGTGCCTTTTGCCCCTTATTAAGGGGCACTCTTACATAACCATAGTACAGTGAGAAGCTTCAGGAAACGTAACCCTGACCTTGTACTCTTATCTAATCTACAGTTCACATTCCAGTCCATCCATGTCCAATTGTGTCCTTTGACAACTGTGTTTTTCTCTTCAGGATCCCATCCAGGGATCACAGGTTGCATTCTGTTGTCATGTCCCCTTGGTTCGCCTTTGACCTTCAGGACACTGACGTCTCTGAGATGCACACACCGGCTAGTTGTAGAGTACCCCTCACTGTGCATCTGCCTGGGGTTCCCCAGCAGGTTCCCAGTTTTTGGCCGTGTCCTTCTCAGTGCCTGATACCAAGTGGCACTCGATGTTCCTTTGTCCCTTATTAGCACCATTATTTTTGATCCTTTTAACCACATAATTTGAATCCAGGATGATCAGTAATGTTCTGGGGGAAACCCACGAGAAAAGGAAATGATCTCACCAGGTAAGGCTTCTTGGAGCTGGAGAAGGGCCCCAAGGCTGACGGTCTCCTGGGAGGTATCCAGACAAAGAATCTAGGTAATAGGTGATCCAGGTGTAGGAAAGAGTGTAAAAAACATACCCTGGCCAGGAATGGTGGCCCACACCTGTGATTCCATTGACTTGGGCGGTTGAATCGGGATGATCTCTAGTTCAAGACCAGCCTGGCAACTTAATGAGACTCTGTCTATGACGGTGCACACCTGTAATCCCAGCAGCTCAGGAGGCTGAGGCAGGAAGATTGTGGATTCAAAACCAGCCTTAGAAATTTAGTGAGACCCTAAGCAACTTAGGGAGACCCTCTCTCAAAATAAAAAAAAAAAAAAAGGTGGGGGATGTGGTTAAGTGGCCCTGGGTTCAATCCCTGGTACCAAAGGTAAATAGATAGATAGATAGATAAAAATTAAAAGGGCTGGGGTATAGCTCAGTGGTACAGTATCCCTGGGTTTATTCCCCAGTAGTAGGGTTGGGGGGGGTATTGCACTCTGGCCTGACACACATGTCAGAGGAGGCTGTAAGATTTCAGAGGAGGCTGTAAGATCACTGGGGGTATTTATTCAGACACTCTGCCCAGGAAATGGCCTTCACTGTCCCTGGCAACCGAGCATGGTATTTCCTGCTGCCCTCTGCTCACATCCAGGTCACCAGGAAAGGGCAGCCCCAGAGGAGAGAGCTCAGAGGCTCAAGGCAGAAAATATGACTCAGAACCTGAACTTAGGACTCAGAAAAGGATGAGCAGCTTCTGCCCTCTTCCACCCAGTGTCCATGCTTCCTCCCAGCCTGGCATCTTTTTTTTTTTTTAATAGTTGTAAACAGACAGCATGTCTTTATTTATTTAATGCGGTGCTGAGGATCGAACCCAGTGCCTCACACAAGCTCGGCAAGTGCTCTGCCACTGAGCCCCAGCCCCAGCCCCCAGCCTGGCATCTTGTACACAACAGGCAAACAGAACTAAGTCACCAAGGAAATAATGACAACGATAGTAGTGAACGTTTACACCAGCAGACACTTGCACAATCTATTTGTGTCATCCTTAGATCAGCTCTGGAAAAGAGAGAGGTCTTTCTTCCCTTTTTGTAAAGAACAAGAGAAAGTAAGCATCTGAGTTGTTCAGGCATTTGGCCAAAATCACACACAGTCTTTAAGGGTCAAGGTTTGAACCAAGTTCCAAACCACCGAATGTTTTTTACAGCTTGTTGTCATTTTGTGATTGAGAGTTTTGCATGAATAATACATTTGCATATCTCCAAACCCCCAAACTCTAAAAAGTATAGTAAGAGAGGTTGCCTTACTCTAATCATGTATCTACACAAAATATAATTCAAGAATATGTGTGTGTATACATTGATTGATCCCAAGGGCACTTTACCAGTCCTTTTTTTTTTTTTTTAAGAGAGAGAGGGAATTTTTAATATTTATTTTTTAGTTTTTGGCGGACACAACATCTTTGTTGGTATGTGGTGCTGAGGATCGAACCCGGGCCGCACACATGCCAGGCGAGCGCGCTACCGCTTGAGCCACATCCCCAGCCCACCAGTCCTTTTTATTTTTTGTTTTGAGACTGGATCTCTCTAAATTTGCTGAGGCTAGCCATGAACTTGTGATCCTCCTGCCTCAGCCTCCTGAGTCACTGGGATTACAGACATGATTCATCACGCCCAATTTCAAGAATATCTTATTCATAATCACTTTCAAGGGTTTTGTTTGTTTGTTTGTTTGTTCTGTATGTGCAATCATTTTCAATTTTAAAATAGCGGGAAGGACTGGGAACAGGGGTGCACACTTGTAAATCTCAGTATTTTATGAGGCTGAAGCAGGAAGATTGCAAGTTCAAAAGCCAGCCTCAGTAACTTAGTGAGGCCCTGAGCAATTTGATGAAACCCCATCTAAAAATAAAATGGGCTGGGGATGTGGATCAGTGGTTACAGGATCCTGAGTTCAATCCCTGGTACCAAAAAAAAAAAAAAAAAGTAAGCATGAGCAAACATAAAATAAACCCAGATTGAGAGATTCTACAATTGAATGTCCCAAAAAAAAAAAAAAAAAAAAAGTTGTTCCTTCATCAGCTAGGCACAGTGGCACTCACCGGTAATCCCAGCTATTTGGGAGACTGAGATAGGAGGAGGATCTAAGTTTGAGGCCAGCCTGGGCAACTTAGTGGGACCCTGCCTCAAAATAAAAAATAAAAAGGATTGGGAGTGTAGCTCAGTGATAGAGCATCTCTGGGTCCAATCCCCAGTACAACAAAAAGAAAAATAAGTTCCTTCTCTCTCCACCTTGAGTTTATTTAGAGAGTTATCAGCAATATCCCCCAGTTTTACATGGGTTGCAGAATATTGTTCTCATTGTTCTTTTGCATTGGGGCGGTGGGAATGGCCAGGGCCCTGTGCCTGTCACAAGGCGCTCTCCCACTGGGCCACATCCCAGCCCAAGCACTATTTTACATCTTTTTTCACTTGACATAAATATCAAAGCTCGTTTCAAATCACTCTGTACCAGTGTCCTTGGTAGTTTTTATTTTTCTTTCTTTCTTTCTTTCTTTGTAGTGCTAGAAGCCAGTGTCTTGCACATGCTAGGCAAACACTCTACCACCCAGCTCTGGCCCCTGCCCGCACTCCTCGTTTTTTGATAGCAGCACACTACCCATTTTATGTCTGTACCGTGCTTTATTTTGCCAGTCCCTGTTGAGGGTTGCTTGCTTTGTTCCTCATCTTTTCCTCCTGGAAACCAGGCAGTAATGAATAATCTCGCAGGTTGTTATTTTACACGTGTACATTTATACCTGTACAGTAAGTTCCCCAAAGTGGAATCACTAGGTCAAAGAGGACGAGTATCTGTAAGTCGGGTGAATGTCACCAAACTGCCCTCCGTGGGTGCCTGCACTCCAGCAATGTGAGTTGGCTGATTTCCCCTCACCGTTGGCAACACATTGTTTTCTTAAACTTTTGGATTCTTTTCTTTTTTGTTATTTAAACTTTTGAACTCTTGCCAATCTGATAGGTGGAAAATGATATCTCACCTAGTTTTAATTTTCATCAGAGTATGAGATTACTTTTTCAAATATTGAATGGCCATTAATACTTCTTTTGGCCGATTTTTATTTTTATTTCTGTTCTTTTGCAGGGCTGAGAATGGAATCCGGGGCCTGCTGCCTGCGGGTGAGTGCGCTGCACTGAGCCCTCTCCCCAGCTCTGGTATGTTCTTTTCCTTATGATGTCTAGAATCTCTTTAGGAGGTGATGAACTCTTTTTTTGTTTTGTTTTTCTTTTGTGATTTAACTCTTTGTGATATGAACTGCAAACATTTTCTCTTTCAGTTTGTCATCTGTCTTCTGACTTTGTTTTTATTTTTTTTGACAAGTGAATTTATCCATGTTTTTTCTTTCCTTTCTTGCTTTCTTTTTGGTGGGGGGGAACTGGGATTTGAACTCAGGGGTACTGAACCACTGAGCTACATCCCTAGCCCTTTTATTTTATTATTATTATTATTAAATTTTGAGACAAGATCTCACAACGTTGCTGAAGGCCTCACTAAGTTGCTGAGGCTTTGAATTTCTGATTCTCTGGCCTCAACCTGCAGAGCCACTGGGATTACAGATTGGGCCACTGCGCCAGGCCCTATCTTGCTTTTCTATTTTTATTTTTTCTCTTTTCTTTTGGTGCCAGGGATGTAACAGTCCTTGTGCATGCTGGACAAGGACTCTACTGCTGGGCAAGGACTCCACTGATTTGTGTTAATGACATTCTGAAAACAACCTAAATGCCCCACCGTGGGAGACAGCCAGGAGATACAACATACTTGGAAATTGGATCTGGGACAATATACTGAGTGTATTTAACAGGAATTAAAACAAAAAACAAACAAATAAAAAACTGACTGTGTATCCAGTGACATCTTTTTTTTAAAGCATGTTTATGAGGAAAGAGACTGGTGAGAGACACAAATGAGTGAAAAATCTCATGTACTGTTTTCCTGGATACACCTGGAGTTAGATGGACCGAGGCACCAGTAGTCCCAGCTACTTGGGAGGCTGAGGAAGGAGGATGGTTTGAGCCCAGGCCAGCCTGGGCAACATAAGCAAGACACCCTCCCCCATATCAAAATAAAATAAAATAACTGAAAAGTATATGTGATTCTTATATTTACATTTAAAGGAGAAGGGAATGATATTTATCAAAGATGCATGAAAAAAAAAAATGCAGCCAGGCAGTAAATGACTCTTAATAAAAAACAAACCAGTAGTAATGATGTTGCTTTTGCTGAGAGACAAACCTGAATCTGAAAAAAATATTTCGAATGCCCAGTGTCCAAAATATGTCCATAACTGTGGCTATGGGTCAAATGTGGCTGTTGTGCAAGCACTTGGAAAGGTGGTCAGTCCAAATTTCTATATGCTATAAATGTAAAATAAATATCACATTATTATCAGATCAGGAAAAAATGAGTTTTTTTTTTAAAGTAAACTATTTGGCTAATTAAAAAATATTGACCACATGTTTAAATGATCAAATTTAAGGTGTGATGGATTAAAATGAAATTATTACAATTAATTTCATGCTTTTTACCTTTTTAAATCAAAATGACTACGGGAAAGTTTTTATATTCACGGCTCTCTTGGTGGCTCAGATCATATTTTTACTGGATATTGATCTAGAATTCTGTACCAAGTTTTAGGAGACAGACAGGGTGTTACAGGTCAGGGGCCTTCCTGGAAACTGAGATGGCAGGACAACTCCCCCGTTAAGCCCTGATTCTTGTGATCAAGTCAGAAGGATTTCATCTATGTCACTCAGAGTAACAGGCATGAGTTTATCAGGACCAAAGGGAAAGGGGACACTCTCAAGTGAGAAAGTGGGTCCTCTTAGAAGAGGGACAGCTTTGCTCTCCTGTCATTCAGTTTTATTGGGGTCTCAAGGAAGATTGTAGAGAGTTCTTTTTTTTTTTTTTTTTTTTTTGGTACTAGGGATTAACCACTAAGGCACACCCCCAGCCCTTTTTATTTTGCTAACTATCAGGACCTCACTAGGTTGCTGAGTCTGGCTTTGAACTGGCTATCCTTCTGCCTCGGCCTCCCGAGCTGCTGGGATTTCAGGGGTGGGCCACCATGCCTGGCTCAGTTCCACCTTTTGACTTTTGACTGCATCCAGCAGGATGACATCAGACTTTTGAGTACTCCCTGTGCATGACAACTTCAGGTCCCTTAGGTCTATTCTGACTGGTTCTAACCGGAACCTATTTTACAGATTTTATGATTAGCGGGAATCATCCTTATCTCCCTGAATTCCAGGATCCGGTCTTTTTTTTTTTTTTTAATGTTTGTTTGTTTTTGGTACCTGGGATTGAACTCAGGGGCACTCGACCACTGAGCCGTAGCCCTAGTTCTATTTTGTACTTTATTTTGAGGAAGGATCTTGTCGGGAGCCACTCTGGTCAGGAGCTATGTACACACCTTTAAGTCCTGAGTAAAGGGGTACTGAGCAGTTATTGCACCCCGCAATACATTGGACTTTTACTCCCGCAGGGATAATGAGGCGTGGCTCTGGGAGTGGAGGTCACCTGTTGGAGTTGAGCTACACTCACCTGTTCCTTTGAATTTTTTTTTTAATATTTACTTTTTAGTATTTGGCAGACACAACATCTTTGTTTGTATGTGGTGCTGAGGATCGAACCCGGGGCCGCACGCATGCCAGGCAAGTGCGATACCGCTTGAGCCACATCCCCAGCCCTCACCTGTTCCTTTGAAATCCTACCACTTTGCCCTTTTGGGGATAGACTGCCCCATGGAAACTCCCCTTGTGTGTCCCCTGTGTAAGAATAAAGAATTCCAGTGGCACTCTCTTTCCACAAGGCTGGAGAGCCACCTCGAAGTTGGAAAAGGTACCCCTGTGTGTTTGCGTGCTTTCTCTCACCCTTGACTTGGAATAGTCAGATTTGTGAAGCCAGCATAGATCACCAGCTCGGCTGGATGGCCACAGGGCCTCACTGTTGCTGAGGCTGGCTTTTAAGTGGGGATCCTCCTTCCTCAGCCTCCTGAGCAGCTGGAATTACAGGTATGTGCTGTTGAAACCACACCCGCCAGAGCTGGGCCTCCTCTAGAAGCTAGTGGTCCTTGTACCGCCCCTGCCAGGGGAGGAGGCCCTCGACCGCGACCTGTGTCAGCGGCTACACAGTCCCTGATGGTGGTCTTGTGCAACTGGATCATGAGGAACACAGCCACTGTGAAGGCTGCCTCTCGCTCAACACCCAAACCTGATTTCTCTAACAAAGACATTGGAAAACAGGTGAGGAGAGAATTTTTAGGTCGGGAGATATTTAAAAGGCATTTCAGCTAAGTGCCATGGCTAGGTACCTTGTGATTCTGAGTCCAACGATCTCCAGAACAATAAAACAAACAGTGTTCTGCGCTTGGTGTCTCTGTTCCCCTCAAATTCACATATTGAAACCCCAGCGCCCAATATCAGCTGTACAAAGCCCTCCGTATCGGTGGGTTCTGCACCCATGGATTCAACCAACTTTCTTTTTGTTTATTTATTTATTTTTAGTTGTTAATGGACCTTTATTTTTTATTTATTTTTATGTGACGATGAGGATTGAACCCAGGGCCTCACACATGCTAGGCAAGCGCTCTACCACTGAGCTACAGCTCCAGCCCAACTTTCTTTTTTTTTTTTTTTTTAAATATTTATTTTTTAGTTGTACAGAGCACCTTTATTTTGTTTATTTACTTTTATATGGTGCTGAGGATTGAACCCAGGGACTCACAAGTGCTAGGCGAGCCACAACCCCAGCCCCTGCATTCAACCAACTTTCAAAGTCCTCAGGGAAAACCATGTGTCTGTAGGGAACATGTATAGACTTTTCCTCTTCTCTCTGAACAACACAGTGCAACAATTATTTCCAGCATTATAAATCATCTGGAGGTGATTTAAAGTCTACAGGAGGCTTGTGTAGGCTCTCTGCACACACTGTGTCATTTTATGTAAGGGACCTGAGCATCAGAAGATTGTTATATAAAGCGGGGGGTGGGGGGCACAGGGGTCCTGGAGCCAGTCCCCCAGGAGAGGTGACTGTATGTAGAGACTGGGCCTCTAAGGAGGCTAAAGGAGACCATAAGGATGGAGTCCCTAATCTGATAGGATTAGTGACCTTATAAGAAGAGACACCAGGGCTGGGGAAGCAGCTCGGAGGTAGAGCCTTTGCCTAGTGTGCATGAGGCCCTGGGTCTGATCCCCAGCAAAACCAAAACAGAACAAAGATCTTTCTCTTTCTCTGAGTCAGCACCCAGGGAGGGCACATGAAGAGGACAGTGAGGACATGGCCACCTGCGTGCTGAGACCAAGTGCTCATCAGAAGGGAGCACTGCTGCTCTTAGAATTCCCAGAACTATGAAAAAAAAATTCATTTCTGTTATTTGAGGCTTGCCGTCTGTGGTGTTTGATCATGACAGCCCTGGCGGGCAAACACAGTCACAAAGTGAATTAGAGCATTGATGAGATGGTTGAAAATGAGAAAATGCGAACATTTACTGAATAAACACAGTTTTAAAACTACATTTATGCTATTATGAGTACCTTTTTGTGCATGCTACTGGCGACTGGGCCCAGGGTGCACTGCACTCCTGAGTCACATCTCCAGTCCTTTTTATTTATTTATTTAAGTGGTCCTGAGGATTTAGCCCAGGGGTGCTCTACCACTGAGCTACACCCCCAGCCCTTTCCTATTTTTATTTTGAGACAGAGTCTTACTAAATTGCCCAGGCTGGTCACTTGCCATTCTCCTGCCTCTGTCTACCCCAGTTTCTGGAATGACAGGTGAGCTCCACCACACCTGGCACAAAATTGAGTCGGTTATTGTTGAAGCTAAGAAATGGGCACAGGATGTTTATTTTTTAAAACCTCTTCTCTGTTGTTTTTTTTTATTGTGGCAAAATATACGTAATATAAAATTGAGCATTTAAGCATTTTTAAGAGTCCGCTTAGTAGCAGTAAGTACATTTCTCTACTTTTTGTTGTTAAAAATTCTCCAAAATAAAAGTTTCGGTTTTGCAAATGACAATAAGCAAAGTACAGTCTTGGTAGAGGTGATCCTGAGTTTCTGGGAGTGGTTAGGTTCTTAGTGCAGGGATTTTTTTAACTTCTTCAGAATTTCCTAATTTTATATAATGAATGCTAATCTCTTTAGAAGTTTAGTGGTTATTTTTATGACGATAAGGATAAAAACAAGATACGACGTTTTGCTATTGGTTTCCTTGGAGGATTCTTTCTCACACGCATTCACAGGGTCAGGGGGCCCCCGGGATATAACAGGGACAGAGGCGCCCCCTGGTGGCAAATCCGACGACAGCTGTGGCGGTGCCCCAGGCGCACTGCTGTTCCCAGGCTACAGGAAGGACCGGCGCTACCTCGGCTTCTGAAGGCGGCAGATCCACCGGAGACAGCCTTGGGGAAGATGATCTAGAGATTTCTGAGGCAGAGCCAAGGGGGGAATGGAAGCAGTGATTGGCAAGTTCTTTCACCAAACCCCTACTTCCTCCTGCTTTCAAGCCATCTCATGTTTAACAGCAGTGCCTGCTTTCATTCATCCATCCATCTAACACTGATGAAGCACCTTTGCTGCGCCACCAGGCCCTGTTCCAAGCACCTGAGACAAAGGTCTTTACCCTAATGGAGCTGACACAGTTACTGTGTAGAAAAAAACAAACAGACAAGATAAGTTAGGGAAATATACAGCATGTTACATGGTGATAAACACTAAAGAGAAAAATTAACCCAAGGAGGGAGATACGCATGGGAGAAAGTATGTATGAAAAGATGTAAAATAGAGCGACCAGATCTCACTGAGAAGAGGGTGTTGGAGCAGGGAGGTGAAGGTGTGAAAGTTCAA